GGGGGGGGGGGGAGAGAAGTATCTGGCTGTTCTAGAACTTGGTGCAAAAGTCCTAAAATACAAGACTATATTTTAGGGATGGAGTAATTTTTCCGTAATAATGATCATTTAGTTCATTTTAATGTGTTGGTCTCTACTTATTTGTGTCTTCTTGAAAATAAATTCTTCTCCTTGCTGATTTGTTTTTGCAGAAGAGGATTGTAAAGTTTCTTACAGTAAAGAACAATCATGGAAGGAGCTTTAATGCAGAAGTGCGCAAGAAGAAGGAATATCGGAACCCTGACTTCCTGCTTCATGCAGTGACATATCAAGACATTGATGAGATTGGATCGTGCTTCAGCAAAGATGTATTCGACCCTCGTGGATATGACAAAAGTGACTATTATAAAGAAATAGGTCACTAACAATTCCTTGTATTCTTTCTTTCTTGATTTATCCATCTATCTATTTTTTCTTTTATCTAGCCATCTGTTTATAAATTATGTATGTTACGGAGGTGTACACAATACACTGCCAAGATTCAGTATCAATGTTTTTGGATAACCATTGTTGATCATTTAGAACTCTAAAATTAGCTCTATGCTCGTTCTCCATGTTTGTTTTTGTGCCTTTCCCTTTCTCGACAATGGTCAGACTAGGTTGTTATTTGTGATTGATTGATGCATAAATCAGATCTATGCTGACGACAGACAATCAGAGGATGAACTCAAACCTTGGGTAGTTCGTGGAGGAGACAATTTCAACCCAAATCTCAATAAAGGGGAAGAAAGGATGAAAACTTCAACTCAGTAGATTGTGTTGAGAAGAAGATCCTTTCTCTCAAAAAGCACCATTGGTTAGGTCGTACATGGGAAGTCCATAAGTGGCTTCAACCGATTGAATGACATACAGGAGTATATATTGTTAGCTAAATTTGGAACCCATCGAGTAAAGGTTGCCAAGATCAACAATCGTAGCATGCTATCCATGCCTTGCTGAGACTGTAATGATAAGTATCCCATGTCGTGACTAGCACTGTCCCGTATGTCTTTGTCAGCTTGTTGAAGGCAGTAGGTTAGGATCGGGAAAAGAGCCCTGCTGGAGATATCATTGTATAGACTTGCCTTTTGGGTATGAAAACTAAGTATGGCCCTCTAGGCATAGTGATGCTAAAAAGAACTGTTAGATATTATTTTTCATTGAAAAGCCATTCTCCTATATGTGTGTTGTTAAAGGATTGCTTATGCCTCTGCCTAGGCCCACGGCGCAGCAAACCCAGGCTAGGCCACTTCAATAATCATTTGGACTCAATTGCTTGTTATTCCTTTTGTTTTACTAAATCATAGAGCCATGTTTTTGTGAAAGTACCAGGTGTATTGCTTTTTGATTATTATGATTCATATGGACTGGCATTGCATAAATTGGGAAGTTGAGATGCAAGAACATCATTTCCATAGTAAAAGGGTTTGTTTACATGAATTAGGGTGGATTATTGAAAAATTGATGCACGTGTTTGTGAAATAAGTTTTTATTTATTGAGATTAACCTTTGTTTGGAGTATTGGGAAATTGGATGTTTTAGAGATGAAAGGTAGGGGAGTTGGATTTGTGTTTGTTCACAATCTATTAATATTTTAGTCATTCTAAATGACAAACCAAGGGGCAAGTTCAAGGCATCTAGAGGGCTTATACAAGGGAATCCATTATTTTTCATTTTCGTTTGCTCTGTTGTGCAAGAGTTGAGTAGATTAAGGTGAGGCCTAAATGTGTGATATTGTGGAGGGATTTGTTCTTGGTAGAGAGGTTTTCAGCTTCACCCTTGTAATTTGCAGATGATACCATATTCTTTTCCTCGAGGGATGATTGAAATTTTTTGAATATTTGAAAAAATATTGGTGTTTTTGGTATGATTTCTAGGCTTAAGGTCAATATGGACAAGAGTTTGATTGTTGGTGTTAATTCTAGTCAAGAGAAGATTGCTAGGATGGATAGTGTTTTGGGATGTCTTGTGGGAGGGTGGCCCCTTAAATACTTGGGACTTCTTTTAGGTGGTAACCCTCTAGCTTTGAGATTTTGGGATCCAATTATTAAGAAGGTAGGGGAAAAGACTGGCTTGGTGAAAAAAACTTTTATATCTATAGGTGGAAGGCTTACATTAGTTTAGTCGATGCTGGCTAGTGTTCCAGTTTATTTCTTGTATCTTTTCTAAGACGAGGGAGTTTTTGTAGGAGGGTAGTGGCGAAGGTAGGAAGATCACCTTAGTTGATGGGAGGTTGTTTTTAGGCCAAGAGCTAAAAATGGTCTTATGGGTGACAATTTGAAGGCTAGAAATGTAGATTTAGTCGGAAGATGACTTTAAAACTTTTCGTTGGAGTAACTATATGTATGGTGCATTCGGTTATTAGAAGCAAATATGATGTACAAAACAAATGAGTGAAATGCCAATGGAGTTGAAAGGGTTATTTTTGAACCATTGATAACCATTTCTCACAGATTACAATACCTCTCTTGAAGAGTTAAATATGTTGTGGGCAATGGAGAGAGATTTGGTTTTTGAGAGGACGAGGAATCGTCCTTAACATGTTTATATCCTCGTCTAGTGTGTCTCACATTTCCGCAACTTTACGACATGATTCTTTGGAGAGTAGAAGTTGGGTCATTGACTTGATTGACTCATTCTCGTGTAATTCTTTTTTTGATTCTTGAGTGATGATTCTTCCTTATCAATTATTTATCAATTTTTTGAGATTTCGAAGGCCAAGGTACTTTGGAAAGTACAAGTTTGTGCATGGGCTGTGACTTATGGCAAGATTGACACTAATGATATGCTCCAAAAGAGAAGGTCTAATATATGCATTTGCCACAATGGTGTGGAATATGTTGGGATGATGGTGAGGAGATGGATCATTTATTTTCGCATTGTTTTGTTGCTTAGTATTTATGGAATAAATTGTTTAAGATGGTTGGACATTCTTGGGTGGCTCCAAGATCTATATCAGCTATGTTTTGCGTGAACTTTCATGGCTTTGGGAGGACGAGCAATGGAATTAGCCTTTGGGGTGCATTAATTGCCATTATTTAGGTGATTTGATTGGAAAGAAATGCAAGAATGTTTGAGGATAAGTGTGAAGTGCTTGAAAGATTATGGATCTGTATCTATTTCTTAGCATCTTTTAGGGTGTCGTTATTGAAGGAATTTGTTATTATGGCTCTTTTTTGGTATCTTAGAGGGTTGGACAGTTGTTTGTGGTTATTGGTCTAAAATAAACCATATTGTACTATTTTTTTTTCCTGGTCTTCATGTAGTGCTTCCTTTGTTTGCATTGCACTATGGTTGGACAACTTGTACCCTTGCTCTCATATTTTGCCACATTCATTTTTATCATTAATAAAAATTTTGTTTCCCCTCTAAAAACAAATTGTATTTTGCTATTATGTCATATTTTGAAAAATCATTTGCATGTTGTCTAATACCATGCACCTCACTCTAGTTAGACCCGCACATTTGGCTTGCCTCGTGCTTAGGCTCTAGGGGACCTTGGCACCTTAAACACTGCCCATTATACTAAATATGTCATTAGAAAAGGGGATGGAGTTTGTTATCCAAGAGGATCTTTGGTGGGGACATCAAACTTCCGAAGATTCTTTTCCATTTCTCTAATGCCATGCACCTCACTCCAGTTAGACCCGCACATGTGGCTTGCCTAGCGCCTAGGCTCTAGGGGACCTTGGCACCTTAAATAAACTGTCCATTATACTAAATATGTCATTGGAGACGGGGCTGGAGTTTGTTACTCTGGAGGATCTTTGGTGGGGACATCATACTTCCAAAGATTCTTTTCCATTTCCTTTTATGGTCTCCTCTCCGGCATGCTTTTCTATGGTTTGTGGCCCCATCAATATCCTTGGCACACTCGAAGTGTTCACTTCCAAAAAATATGAACTTTCTTTTTCTTTTAGATGTCAAATCCATAATTATTAGTATCGTACGATACGCGATATGAATCATACGATATGTCGTGATACACCTGAAAAACGATACGTATCGTGTCTCTGTATTATTTTTGCATTGTATCATACGATACATGATACAATATATACGACATGATACGATACGTGAAGATTTTGATTTTTTATATTTTTTTGATTTTTTAGGATTGAAATGACATCGTTTCATCGTAGGACTTATTTTTAAATCACTAGCCAGTGAAATAACGTCATTTCAGTAGTTATGGTTTAAAAAAAAAAATAAAGTCTGTTGTTAATGTTGTTCAATTGAATTCAAAATTTCTGATTAATATTAAGGTTATTCAAGTAGTTAATGTTAGAAGCTTGAATTAGAGGTCTTTGTATTTGGATATTACTGAATTATGTTGGGAACTTGAATAGATGGTGGAATATTAATGAAATGCTATGTTATTATAAATTTATGACTTTTTTTGCAAAAGTATATATATATATATTTAATAATTATTTAAAATTACACGTATGTTACGATACACTATTTTTGAAAAACGATACGTCTGATACGTGATTTGACAACTATGGTCAAATCCCTTTTGTTGTGGCACAGTGTTTATATATTGCTTTGTTTTTTTTGATGCACTATGATATTGACCACTCGTTCTGTTGGCAGAGGCTGATATGAGTCGTGAAATGGAGAGAAAGGAGCAAGAAAGGAAGAAGAATCCAAAGGTTGAATTTCTTTTGGGGGGAACGCAACCTGGAACAGTTGTTCCTGTGCCTAAAGTTAGCGTGCCAACTCCAGGTCTAGAAACAACCTTTCCTGTTAATGGAATGGTTGAAGTTGACTTCCGCTGAAGTATGCCGTTGCCTGATTCTCTCGGTGGGTTGCTATTTTCTGCAGGTGTAGCAATTATGGCTGGTGGTGCGCTGCAATCAGTTCCTGCTGCAGTTGATGTTGCAGCTCGGGATGGTAGGCAGAATAAGAAATCAAAGTGGGATAAGGTTTTAATTGATGCATATCATCATATATGAGTTTATTTGATGGCACAAATAACTATCGTGTGAATCACTGTCATTTCGTAAATCCTTTGGTTCAGGTGGATGGTGATCGAAGGAATCCTTTGGACTCTGGAGGGCAGGATTCTGTATCAGCTGTTGGGGTACATACAGCTCTCCTATCTGCTGCTAGTGCTGGTACTGGATACACTGCATTTGTGTAAGTTCTATATTGAAAAAATAAAATTGTCTTGGCTTATCTACTCTTGGTGTTTGTGCGCATGCAATTTTTTATAGGGTTTGGTAAGGATTGCGGCTAAGGAACGATTAGAATTCTGACATTGGGACTAATCTAAGTTTATACCTTTAGTTTATATGTGTAGATATGTAGTTACTTGAGAATGAATATGTGATTAATTCCATGTGTTCTGTTGAGATTTGTGAAGGAGACTATGAATCTGAATGGGTCCCTTTCCAGAACTGCCTTTTATCTTAGCTATCTGAATGATTTCCGGGAAGAAAAAAAGGTGGGTTTTATTTCTTTTTTTTTCCCTGGGGGTGGGGGTGGAAGGGGGAGTTGAGATGATTAATATTGACTTCTTTTTTGTCACAAAAGACATTGATTTTTTTAGAGGCCTTCTGATCAATTAGAAAAAAATAACATAAAATGATGTATGGTCTGGGTTGGCAGGGCATCCGAAAACATACCTTGACCTGAATCTGATGCAGGTTGAATGTTGCTGCCACTTCCATGTCCTGGGCCCCTGGCAATGAGCCATGCTTGTCTTAGTAGGAACAGGCAGGGTTGGTCTTGTGGACTGGCTCTGTTGTTGTGCACAGTCATGCAGTCTGGCTTTGATTAAACCTCCACTTTCTTTCAAGATTTTGCATGAGAAAGTTGGCGCCAAAGAATACACTTGAAAAAAAGTTGTTGATGCTTAATATAAGCCTTGCACTTCCTTAGGGGAATACCACACTATGCTGAAGTAGAATCCGATTATAAAGTAGTCTGTGTTACCAGTAGACGTGGTTGTTTTTGTGCTCAACTTTTTTTGTACATAGTACACCGACATTATTATCAATCCTTGCACCGATGCTTTGTTTACAATCAATTTTAGGCAACAGCGGCGGCGGGAGGCTGAGGAAAGAAGATCAAGTGAAAAAAGGTTGGACAGAAGATCCTGACACATTGAGGGTATGCTGGATAGTGAAACTGTCACTCACACTAATGTGAAGACAGTCGGAATGCCCGGGGTGAAGTATAGACTTCTACCTTATGGTTAGATTATATGTTCTGTATATGACTAGCTTGAAATTTCATTACTCGTATAGCAAATACTACCACCTAATTTCTTCTAGCTTTAACCCTAATGTAGTTCAGGGTTTAATTAACTTCACTGTGTAGTGATGCCTGTTTTAAACTGGCAAATAGGTGTTTTTTTTTTTTTTTTTGGTGTTCACTTTACCTCTTCCTGTTAACTAAAGTGCTATGCATCTCAAATTAATAGGGATCCTCGGATACGTGGATTCTATTAACTTTTTTTAATGGAACCCGTTCATCTATGAATTGCTAATCATCTGGGCTACTAAATTTGGGATGCAAAGTATTTCCTCGGGGATGTACGTTGGAGATCGAAATTGTCTTGTGCTTTGTTCTTTATTGGAAATGTTTAATTTGTATACACTAACCATATACAAAGAAGGGTCCTTTTATGGTATCGCTTTTTGAAAGTACTTTTGTTGTTTTTCTCGTGCTTTATATATATTTTTTCTTGTCGAGCTTACTCTTTTTTTTTTTTTTTTGTCGTAATCACATGTATAGTTACCAAGGCCGTACCCAGTGACAAAGCCATTGACCAATCAAATGGCCCAGCAACTGCTCCTTCAATAAGGACATCAATTTTTTGTGTGATTATTAGATTTTGAGTTATCTTTATTATGTGATCCCAAAAAAAAAAAAAGTTATCTCTATTTTTTTTTTTTTTGGGTTCAATGATTTGGGTTGTTTGGATCAATTTATGTATATCTGGATTAATTTTTTTTTCGATTTGGTTAAAGGCAGATCATCCATCTTAGGATTAAGATATTGATGAAGGATAAATTTAAAATAATACGACGAATTTGATATAACATAATTTTTCATACAAATTAATAACAAATTGAATATAAATGAATTATTATTTTAACAAGAAATTTTGAAAGATCTGACACAATCTCGTTTCATCTTGTACAAGACTTAATGGAAAGCCCATAGCAAATTCAGAAGAATCAGAACCGATCAATGACATATCGTGGACCACTCTTTTCTGCTGCTGATCCGGCCCAGGCAGAGAGAGGGCTTCCTCGTAATATTTTCGAAATCGAGGGTCCTTGCTGTATTCTCTCTCTCTCTTCTCAACTAAAACAGTGAAAGAGAGACCAAAAATTTGGAGCTGGATTCACATGGGTGTTGTTTGATCGATGGGTCCATCATCTCTCTGTCTCCGACCAACAATTATGAGTTGAAGCACCCCCCCCCCACAAAAAAAATATTCCTCTCTTCTTTATTTCTCGCCGGAAAAAAATAAGAAGATATGGCCGAGGACCAGGTATGTAAACATTTTCATGGATTTTTTTGGGAAAATTGTTGTCAATTTCTTGATCTGTTCTACTAAATTGTTTATGTTTTCCGTTTGTTTCTTGGTAAGCTGGAAAATGAGAAAATGTTTGCTTCATTTTCTGAATTTTTTGTGTCAATTTCTTGATCTGTTAAGCTAAATTATGTATGTTTTCCAAATATTTGCTTCACTTTGTGAAGTTTTTTTGTGTCAATTTCTTGATCTGTTATGCTAAATTATGTATATTTTTCGTTTGTTTCTCGTAATCTGGAAAATGATAAAATATTTGCTTCATTTTCTGAAGTTTTTTGGGGTCATAGAAACAAAACCCTTTTTGCTAAATTGGGGGTTATTTTCACCGTTTGACGGGTTGGATTACGAGATTTAGAAATAAATCTTGCTTTTCTTTGTTTTTTTTTTCTTGGTTTTTTCGGGAACCATACAGGGGGCTGAGTAAGGTTTATTGCATGAGCTGTGTTGCTTTGTTCTATCTGTGACTTTCATTTTTAGGGTTAGTTTTTGTTTCTGGTGTTTGAGACAGTGAGTTCTTGTGATTGTTGTCTCAGACTGTGCATAACTTAATTTTGGAATAATTTTGGTCTCTGTTCAAGTTTGACCTGATCTTTACTGAATTCTTAGTTAGATCATTGTTCTTCTGGTAAATATAGTGGGATTTTCATCAATGTTTTGCTGATTTACTTGGATTATCTGTACATTTTGAATCCTCATTCCAAGCTTTAGTCATATTTTCTATTTTTGTTTATGCTGTTTTCATGTATTCAGAATATATTTAAACTCTTTTGACACACTGATATTTTAACTGTTTTCTATTTTTGACTCTTTTTATTATTTGTGGCAGGAGATGTCTGCTTCTGTTGTAGATGGAAACAATGCGGTCACCGGTCACATCATTTCCACAACCATTGGAGGCAAAAATGGAGAACCCAAACAGGTAGCACTACACACTTATGAATACGCATTTTGGCTGGCCGTGAACTCTCAGTGTTGCGTGTTCACAAATTAAATTTGGTTAAGTGGAAAAATATGAGTTGCATGACCTTTCAGACATTTTACACTGATCAAATTAAAGTGGCTGCACTTTGTTAGTTTGTTTATTGTATTTAATTGATGTTATTAGCATCTTCAAGCAGTTGATATGAGGATGTGGATGTTATGATTTCTTTTATAATGTTTCTTGTAAACCATGAATATGATGATTATTAACCATTCTTTGTATATAGTTGAGACCCAGTTCAATTTTCTTCGCATGAGAAGTTCATTAGTATTATGTGATGCATTATGCAGACCGTCAGTTACATGGCAGAGCGTGTTGTGGGGACTGGGTCATTTGGTGTTGTCTTTCAGGTATGCTGATGTTAATTTTGTTGCTATTCCAGTTTTAGTGGCATCTTTTGGTTTATTTAACATGCAGATGTCTGTCTTCTCTTAGGCAAAATGCCTTGAAACTGGGGAGACTCTGGCTATAAAGAAGGTATTGCAAGACAGAAGATACAAGAATCGTGAACTGCAGTTGATGCGCACGATGGATCATCCTAATGTGGTGTCTCTGAAGCATTGTTTCTTTTCAACCACAACCAAAGATGAGCTTTTTCTCAACTTAGTCATGGAATATGTCCCAGAGACCATGTATCGGGTTCTGAAGCATTATAACAATGTGAACCAGAGAATGCCACTCATTTATGTCAAGCTTTACACATATCAAGTATGTGTGGCCCATCTTTGGAGGTTTTAGTTGTGTTTCTCTATCTGCTGATGTTAAACAGGTAACATTTGTCCAGGTTTTCAGGGGACTGGCATATATGCATACTGTTCCTGGAGTATGCCATAGGGACTTGAAGCCTCAGAATGTCCTGGTGTGTACTTCTCTGACTATTAACTTGAGGTAGAGGAATGTGGCTGTATCATTGATGTTATTGATTGTCCACAGGTTGATCCTCTCACACACCAGGTGAAAATCTGCGATTTTGGAAGTGCAAAAATGCTGGTAAGTGAAAGTTATTTTTGTTCCAATGCCTAAAAGTTATTTTTAGCATTTTGTGTGTATTTTGAAGCTGGTTACAGCCGATTACTAGGTACACATTTTAAAATACTATAATTTTGTTCCCAATTCCTTATTACTTACTCAATTTGTGTCCCTTATGATGGGCTATTGCTTCATAATTTTGGACATGCCCTGTTATCTACATGATGCAATTATGATAAGCCATTTCAATGTCATTCTTTGTTGAAAATATTTTATCATTTTGGATCTGTGTATTGCCCATATTTGAACTCAAATTTCTCGAGAGAACAACCTTGCAAAATGTTCTCTTGCAGCTGAGCACTGGGTTTGGTGATTTTTGTCATGCAATTCTGCATTCTTGATAGTAGATAACCTATATGCATGTATCTCATTGTTCTTGAATCTTAGTGGGTGTGCGTCCTTTTCTATTTTCATTGATTGTTTTTCTGCATGCATGTATTTTGTTGCCTGATATTTAGTGTAATTTTTGTAGTATCTTTGTGTGATTGTGGTATTTGTAGGTGCGTATATATAGGGATTCCCAGATAGTTCACTTTCATGTGTTTTGACAGTTTCTGTAGCATGTTAAACTGGAAAGAGCAGTTAATATGTTGTGTTTTATTTATAAATGTAAAAGATTGGAACAGAAGTATTTGCTTTTATATCTTGCTGCTTTTCTGATCCTGAACTATGATATTTTTCTCCTTTTAAGATGGACTGCTGACTTACATTGGCTTTTTGTGTCAAAATAGATTGCTAAGATTTTTTGGGCTTTTATATTTACTTCCAGAAACCTTTCTTATATGGAAGGTTGAAATGATAGTATATTTTGATAGATGCCCACTTCTAGGCGTCACAGTCTTTATGGCTGTAAGTTCTCTAGATCCTTGGTTTAGTGGCTGGGCTGCCTAATGGAATTTCATGCAAGAATAGTCAAATACTGTTAGAGCATCTAACTCAAAACTAATTGGCAATGAGTGAAGATGCCCCTTAGGCATATGAACCAATCTTGCGTGGTCTTAATCATTCGATAAGTAATAGAAGCTATCTTTACACCATCCATCACTTGGGATCTAAGTTTGCACATGGGGCTAACAAACAAACAGATAAACATGCCCACTGAGAAATCCATGTTGGTATCAGAATTGGCTCACTAGGAATCATCAGTAAGGTTTTTTAGGCATCACACCTAAAGTTTTGAATTGCATTACACAATCTGAAAGCTTAAAGTTGCTGAAAATTTTCCGAAAATATCAATCTCTATATGAATTAAAAATATTGAATAGCTACATATAGAGATCCAAATATTTCCTAATCTTAAAAAAATAGGTTTCTATAGAATCTATGGAAGACCCCAAATTACTTATAGATTAGGAAATTAATGTTGACTAGAACTAGAATTGTAAATTCTAGAAACATCCAGCACTAGAAATCAACCCAAAAGAATGGCCCACGGGTCATATTGTGATCCATCTCAGCAAATGTGAAAATTATGAAAATACCCTCGACACTAATACCACCAAACTAACTCAAAGCAACTAAATATAAGACTTCGTCATGGTTGTTCTGGCTGCCAAGTTGGCTCCAACATGTGCAAAATTCCATAGTTTGTAACATTTTGAATTTGTCTTTCCTTGAATATATTTTGGGTTGCATCAATTCTTATCAAAACCAAGTGTCAATTAGCAGAGAGGCCAAGTATTACAATATGGTTTTGAAACGGTTGAAACATCCGAAATGTTTCCGTTTTCAAAGAGACCGAAACGAATCAGTGATGAAATCTAAATTCTAATACTTCGAGGTGTTCCATAATATTGTTATATTTCAATGCATTTGCACAATTATTTTGGAATGCTTCAAGGTATTTCAAGATATTTTGGTATATTTCGACCATTGTTTTGAAATAATAATTTTTAATTTTTTTTTTATTCCGTTTTTGAAACGGATCGAAACGTTTTCGAAACACGTCGAAACGTTTCCATTTTCTAAGAAACAAAGTTTTGATCCTTGGGAGAGGCCCTTTAAGCTAATAAGCCATTCTTCAATGATCCTAATCATTTTGATGTGGATTACAAGCTTTCATTACACATCATGTTTTTCTACTTACTATCCTTCTCATATTCTTATGGTGCACATATAACGGTGCAAGTAGAAGTGAATAGGTACAAAGTGGAGACCCTCCATATGAATCCATCTCCCTGCGATAGAATGTGAGCTTTGGGGGAGCCTTATACACTAGGCCGCTGTCTTGATGTTGCTTTTTCCTAGATTGTTTAGATTGATTTCTTCAGATAATCAATTACTAGTGTCCGACATGTTCATGTTAGCATTGAGTTTGAATCGGAATTTCTTTGGTTTTTCTGTACGTTTTTATCCGTAACACTTGACTCTCTCTCCTAACATGAAGGCTTAAGAATTTTCAGTTGGAGGCCAAATAATTGAGGAACTAAACCGGTCCACTGTTCAAGGCCGTTATGTATGGTTATGGCATGTTTCGAAGTTTTGTTTCCTTTAACCATGTTACTGAATTTACCTAATACTCATTGCTTATGGTACTTGTTATCCAATTGAAGTATTCATAGTAAGGAGCCAATTCTTGACGGATCCGCCCAATTGTTTTCTTTCAAGCTGATAGCTTGCTGCTGATTACCCACTTTCTATTCTGTTTATCTATACATTTATGATAGATGTTAGTTGGGACTTGGGAAAATGCTTTGTTGAGTTGATATGAATTGAGTGCATATGACAGAGGTTACTTCCGTTATTAAATGTTTCTGTTGTGGTGCATATGATTGTACTATATGCTTGTTGGTCTTCCCATAGTATTTTCATGTTTTCACAATAAGTTCAACTGTTATCAGGTGAAGGGTGAAGCAAACATATCATACATTTGTTCGCGGTTCTATCGGGCTCCAGAACTCATATTTGGTGCCACAGAGTATGCGACTTCAATTGATATATGGTCAGCTGGCTGCATTCTGGCAGAGCTTCTTCTAGGCCAGGTTAGTTTCTCTTTACATATTATGCGCTTCTTAGAGTTATTTGAGTCCTTTGATGTAACTATGTAAGTCTGACTTCACATAATTGCAAATTTTTCAAAGCCGTTATTTCCCGGAGAAAATGCAGTGGATCAGCTTGTAGAGATTATCAAGGTACATCTTGATTTTTAACACAAAGAAGTCTTGCAATTCATGTGTTAATGTTTCAGTTTATCGTATTGGATCTTTCAGGTTCTTGGCACGCCAACTAGGGAAGAAGTTCGCTGTATGAATCCGAATTACAATGATTTTAGGTTCCCTCAAGTAAAGGCGCACCCGTGGCACAAGGTTTGGGTTTTAATTCTCCTGTTATGAGATGTTCACCTTATTTTAAAAAAATTACTGGTCTTCTTGCAAACCATCAAATCGAATTAAGGTGGTTTGAACTTAACAGGATGGCATTTTCTGCCATGGCTGCCTGACTTTTCTATAAAGCTTGGGTAAAGTTATTGGTGGTATTGGCTACGCTTCTAACTGAAGCCGATAATTCCTCTTATGCATAAATAACTTTGCTGAAAGAGAATGGTCTGTGCTTAATAATAACATTGGGTGCGAAGCAAAATCAAGATGGAGACAAGCAACAACCATTCACATAGGTGGATCACCAGACACCACACGTGTCAAATAAATGATTGAGAAGCATCCACGGGTTGAAGACAGAATGATTGTGGTCACAAATAAAGCATTTGTACTTTTTTTCATTGAGGGGGATTTCCATGATTATAATTAAAGCTTCGGAATCCAAAAAGGTTGCCACACAGGGCAGTGTAGAGTTGGCTGTTCCTCAAGAATGTAAACCAAAGTTGGACAAGGAGCTTGATTGTGCTGAGCAGCTGAATAAAGCATATGTTTAGGAGTCAGTTGTGGCAGCAGATTGAGGTCCCACAATAAGCTGCCCCTCCAAGATGTCGAATGAGAAGCAGGCTCTCCAACTCATCTTTTTAGGATGACCCAAGTGGGAACTTGTATTCAAGCTCCTCAGGATCACTTATGAGCATTTCTTGGAGGGGGGAGAGAGAGAGAGAGAGAGAGAGCCTCCTGGAACCACACAGAGGAGAGGTCTTAAATTGAGGTGTCCTTTCATCTGGAACTAGTGTTCTGCATTATTCAAATCTAAAGTTGTACTATTTCCAGATCCCTGCATGCACCATAATAGTCTGAAAGACACAGACTTAAGAGTAGCTTTGAATGCTTTTTTCTTTCTGGGCACCCGTTTCCTTTTCTTTTTCTCTGAATAAGAAGCTGAAGTGGCCAATGGACCACTGATGGCCAATATTTGCAATTTGTTTGAGAGTTTACAAATTGCACGGGTCTTAATTGTGAATTGTACTTATCTTGCTTTCAGATTTTCCACAAACGGATGCCTCCTGAAGCAATCGACCTCACTTCACGGCTATTGCAATACTCACCCAACCTTCGCTGCACAGCGGTGAGCTCAATTCTGTTTTCTTGTATCATCAAAAATTGATCTATGTCTACAATGTGCGAAATTCAGGATTTCTTTACTAAGTTTTCTTCTATGTTCCCGTGATATGGTACAAAGTTTCATCCAGAAAAAGCTGTTCCACAAACCATCCCTTTGCTCCAGGCACATATATGCATGCATACATGTACATACATATAGTTATTGCTCTCCTGTATGACTTTATTTTTTTCTTGTTGCAGCTAGAAGCATGTGCACATCCTTTCTTTGATGAGCTTCGAGAATCAAATGTTCACCTATCAAATGGCCGCCTGTTACCACCCCTATTTAACTTTAAACAGGAGGTATGTTGTGTAATAACAATTTTTTTTTTCCTGTTTCTATTCTGGACATGTCTATTTGATAGAGGATATTAATTAAGAAGTAACAGTGGGAGATTTCTAAAAATCTTTGATCAATGGATAGGCGTTCTACTGTGCCATCTCTTAGCCTCTGCCGCCTTGCTGATGACAAATGTGACAGGATTCAAAGTTTTGAACCTATTGCCCTCTGTACCCAAAGCAGCCAAGCCAATCTCTCGAGTGACATGTCTGGGATGACTTATGCATTCTGTAACATTTCCATTCCTTTAATTCCTCTGGCTCTTGGGAGTCTCTTTGTAGGATGTCTTTCTTGGTTGGACTAACCCAACCAATGATTTCCTAGGTATTGAGAGCCTCCATTCCGCCAGCCGTGCCTGCCCAATTTGCAAAGTAGGATAAACCAGCACCCAATATGCCTCTAGAAAGATCAAAAGTGGAATAAAATTTGAAAAATGATTCTCATGCACTGTATGAATGAACATTAATTATACCTCTTAATTAATACAAGTTTTACTTCACATTTCTAGAAAGAGAATTGAGCATCTAAAGCAAATGGAGGCATAACATGTCAAAAAACCTACAACGTACTGTCATCAACTAACTGCATTCTACATTGAGCTCAATCCTTATCTGTTTAGTTTCTGTTTTCGTTTGTGATAAAACTTGGCTGGTTGAGTTGATTGCAAACATATGCAGTAATTACATTGTGGTTACAATGAATTTGCTGTTAGTTGCAGATTGAGTTACTTGTAATGTGTACTCAATTNGAGCATTTCTTGGAGGGGGGAGAGAGAGAGAGAGAGAGAGAGCCTCCTGGAACCACACAGAGGAGAGGTCTTAAATTGAGGTGTCCTTTCATCTGGAACTAGTGTTCTGCATTATTCAAATCTAAAGTTGTACTATTTCCAGATCCCTGCATGCACCATAATAGTCTGAAAGACACAGACTTAAGAGTAGCTTTGAATGCTTTTTTCTTTCTGGGCACCCGTTTCCTTTTCTTTTTCTCTGAATAAGAAGCTGAAGTGGCCAATGGACCACTGATGGCCAATATTTGCAATTTGTTTGAGAGTTTACAAATTGCACGGGTCTTAATTGTGAATTGTACTTATCTTGCTTTCAGATTTTCCACAAACGGATGCCTCCTGAAGCAATCGACCTCACTTCACGGCTATTGCAATACTCACCCAACCTTCGCTGCACAGCGGTGAGCTCAATTCTGTTTTCTTGTATCATCAAAAATTGATCTATGTCTACAATGTGCGAAATTCAGGATTTCTTTACTAAGTTTTCTTCTATGTTCCCGTGATATGGTACAAAGTTTCATCCAGAAAAAGCTGTTCCACAAACCATCCCTTTGCTCCAGGCACATATATGCATGCATACATGTACATACATATAGTTATTGCTCTCCTGTATGACTTTATTTTTTTCTTGTTGCAGCTAGAAGCATGTGCACATCCTTTCTTTGATGAGCTTCGAGAATCAAATGTTCACCTATCAAATGGCCGCCTGTTACCACCCCTATTTAACTTTAAACAGGAGGTATGTTGTGTAATAACAATTTTTTTTTTCCTGTTTCTATTCTGGACATGTCTATTTGATAGAGGATATTAATTAAGAAGTAACAGTGGGAGATTTCTAAAAATCTTTGATCAATGGATAGGCGTTCTACTGTGCCATCTCTTAGCCTCTGCCGCCTTGCTGATGACAAATGTGACAGGATTCAAAGTTTTGAACCTATTGCCCTCTGTACCCAAAGCAGCCAAGCCAATCTCTCGAGTGACATGTCTGGGATGACTTATGCATTCTGTAACATTTCCATTCCTTTAATTCCTCTGGCTCTTGGGAGTCTCTTTGTAGGATGTCTTTCTTGGTTGGACTAACCCAACCAATGATTTCCTAGGTATTGAGAGCCTCCATTCCGCCAGCCGTGCCTGCCCAATTTGCAAAGTAGGATAAACCAGCACCCAATATGCCTCTAGAAAGATCAAAAGTGGAATAAAATTTGAAAAATGATTCTCATGCACTGTATGAATGAACATTAATTATACCTCTTAATTAATACAAGTTTTACTTCACATTTCTAGAAAGAGAATTGAGCATCTAAAGCAAATGGAGGCATAACATGTCAAAAAACCTACAACGTACTGTCATCAACTAACTGCATTCTACATTGAGCTCAATCCTTATCTGTTTAGTTTCTGTTTTCGTTTGTGATAAAACTTGGCTGGTTGAGTTGATTGCAAACATATGCAGTAATTACATTGTGGTTACAATGAATTTGCTGTTAGTTGCAGATTGAGTTACTTGTAATGTGTACTCAATTCCTTTTTTTGGTACAGTTATCTGGAGCCTCTCCAGAGCTTGTTAACAGGCTGATACCCGAGCATGTGAGAAGACAAATGGGTTTGCATTTTTTGCACCCCACGGGGGAATCAACATGAACTTGGAGCATGGATTGAATTATACTAACTGGTGAGTTAGATGCAAAGTGGCCTGTTTCACCTGCGACATGCTTCACCTTCTATTGGGGCCTTCCTGACCAGCAGCATTTATTTGTCTATCAGGAGAAGTACATAGAAGGCAGCTTGATGACTGCACTGCCTTTGCCTGATGCTTTGTTTATGCTATTTTCTTTTCCTTTTAGCCTCTCTCTCTCTCTCAGCTGAAAGAAAGTAAAAGAAGACTCTTTTTCTGTAAATATTTGGTAGTAAGTGATCATAGCAGAAGAAGAGGAAGTGTATGGATGACGAGGAAGGCCCCAAAAAGAGCAGCCGAAGCAAAGATGTGAGGTTTTATGCTTGATTGTGATTTACTGACTGTGCGAAGGAACGCCATTGCTCTTGTTTGTACCTATGCTATAATTTTGCCTTTTAGTCCCCGGATTCCAAAGGTTGTATACCTATTTGTTGAGACGAGAAAATTGAGAATGATCCATGTATGTGTTTGTGTAGATTTCATGTCAAAACATGATTACTATGCAGTTTTCTTGAGCTGTGTTGAACTTACTCATGGTAGATAATCTATCATTGCAGGAAATTGTAGGTAAGTGAATTGGAAGGCTTCAAGTGTTGTGTACCACTAGAGGTATGAGCAGGCGAGTCCTCTGCTGTTAATTTTTAAACACTAGATACGTTGTTGATCTAAACCACATTATTTTGATCTAAAATGATGTCATTTTGATCTAAAACGATGTCGTTTTGTTAAACTGAATGATGTCGTTTTGGATCAAAAAAATTGCATTTTGACCAACGCTACCTCTACTGTTAAAAATTAACTATAGAGGAGTTGGAGTCGGTATGCACAACCATAGTTACCGTACATGTGATCTTCCTTGCATCCTATACTGCCATCACAACTTTCTTGTAATCGGCAAAATAAGCATTAGCATGTGGTTGACCCCGAGTATGGAAGTTTTAGGGCATTAAAATTTAATAATCTCCGATTTCCCTTCTCCTCATTGGATTAAATAGATTGAAACCCTTTTCGTCGTCTTTTTTCTCGATTTTATTCAACGGTATATCAAATATATGAAAATCAAGCAGAGCCAATTATTGAGAGAGAGAGAGAGGGGGGGGGGAGGTGGTTGTATTCCAACTTTTCTCCAACAGCGGGGCATTCCAAAAACTATATAGCCCTTAAAGTTAAAGCACGTGAAACAAATTGTCAGGGAGCACATTGGTGGTTAGTGTAATTTGTCCAAAAGAAAGTCAATACGATTTGGTACACCGAAAGCAACAGTTGAACTCTACGTGCCACTTAAAACAAATTGTCACGGACCACATTGTGGGTAGTGTATTTTGTCCAAAAGAAAGTCAATACGATTTGGTATATCGAAAGCAATAGTTGTGGAAACTACAACATTTTCTCTTACTCCGTCAACTCACATGGGCCCAGCCTCTGACAGATAGCCAAGGGGGGACAATCTCTGTTATTTCAAAATCGCCAGACTATTTCCCGCCTTTTCAAAAATCTATTTTTATTTTATATTTTAATGTATGGACTTTAATATTAAGTCAAATCATTAATTTTTTTAATTTAATTTGATAAATTACAATTATAATGAAAATAGAGTACAATAATAATAAAAAAAATGTATGTTCTTATTCAAATATAAGCAACCTTGTTTTGTGCTTCGCAAATGTTTTATTCCTTGATCTCTTTAACTTGTAGAATCTTAAAAAAAATAAGAGTACCTAAATCGTATTGAAATAATTGGTTATGATTTGTCTACCAGAAATAAGTGATAAATAATCATATATCCATCCATAATAGAGAAATTAATTATCAAAAAGATTATATTTTGCTCATATTGAGATTTAAAATAAATAAGTCATACGTAATTCTATTTATATTTGAGGTATTAATTTTCAAAGTCGATTTTATCATCAATTTCTAAGACAATGTTTACTTTCTATCACTAAAACACCAGTCTTATGAAGTATAAAATGAATTTAATTTATTGAAAAAGAATAACAGATGTGATGATTATCAACAAATGTAGTAATAAAAAACATTAGAAATATTTAATAATTTATTATTTATTAGAACCTATATATCCTCCACCTCTCTCACACATAAAACACATTTTACCTTATAAAATTAAGAACAAATTTTGTTTAAATGTTTAATTAAAATAGATGTGAAGTTAGAGGTCAATACCACATTATTAAGAGTATTTGCATTAGTTTACGCCACCTCAATTAATTATTTTTTAATTCTGTCAAAAATAAGTAATTCATGTTAAAAATATAATATTTATACTGTATAAATTTATCCTGACCAAAATTCGTTATCAGCATATTATAAATATATAGTCGAACTCCCTTGCCAAGAAAGAATAGACAATTGAGATTTGAGACTCTCTCTCTCCTTAGATTGCATTTTGCGCTGCTGGTCAAAGACCTAAGATTTTATGCTCATTATCACTAACATTTAGTTTCCCCGAATGCACTCGTGTGACTGAACGCCATTCACAGAAGAATGGAAGCTGCAAAGCTGCTTTTTCTACACAAATCTTCCTGGCTTTTGGCTTTCAGGACCCAAATGGCACATGCTTTTGTTATTTTGCTGCTCATTCTCCATTGGGTTGGTACAGTTCGAGCTTCCTATAGTCTTCTCTCTCCTAAAGGCGTTAACTATGAAGGTGAGCTTCAACCCCCCCCCCCCCCCCCC